TTCATCAGATTTTGAATTGAGAACATTCCTAAACCTTTTGAAATAAGTGGTTTTGAAATGAATTGCAAGCTGTATTACTGTTAATATGCATTGTTTGTTTAGTGACAGCTTGTTTTTTCTGATTATTTTCAATTCAGGGATTGTCAGCTTAGTATACATAATATTATAATCACCACCAATTTCAAATATTTTATTTTATTTTACTCATTAACTATATATCTGAACTGGTCACTAGTCAGTTTGCATTCGATAGTTTGTTGGTTACGTCTGACCATTTTCCAATGCTGATTTCATTGTTCAGCCGCCTTAAATTAACGTTACGTAGTCAGAGGCGGTGGCTCGGGGGAGGGGAAGATCTACTTACCAACCTCTCACAGAAGGCGCGACCTTACTAGGGGTCGGGGCATGTTCCCCTTCAAAGCTTGGAAATCTAGATCCTCTGAAACGATATTTCCTGCATTTTGATTTTGGAAGGGCGACGCCTCCAACATTTAGTAATAAATCACCAACCGAAGAAATCACCCCCATGGCTGAGTTGCTATTCTTGTCATATATGTTTTTTTGCTAGTGAATCATTATGTGACTGCTGGTGTAATGTATAGTTAACATCTATGGTATTATTTAACCAGCAGTTGAGGTTGTCAGTAGTGTTGTTGTATGTTCTAGTGTTTGAGTTTGTTTTTGTATTTCTGTATTATGATTTGATTGTGATGACTGTATTCACTATTCAATCATATATGGCCTTGTTGAATTCTTCTAACGTCATTGACAATACATAGCTGGTCTTCTTTAAGGATAGTGATTACATCCCTCTTACCTACAACTTTATGTTCTATTACTCTAAGCTATAAAGATATGTCTGAGACACATTTAAGCATTGAAAAATGTCATCATTTTGATTAGTAAGTGCTGTGGCAGTTTTTGTAACTTCTGTACACAGACTAGTGTGGTGATTGTTTAATCCATTGATCTTCGTGGAGACAACATCTACAGATTTATGAACAGAATCAAGAGACGATGAAATTTGAGAATCCTGGGTCATGTCACCCTCTTCTTTATTATTACAGTTAAGTATCTATCAACTGTGAGTTATCGTCTACTAGGGATATTTTATTATACGCTTTCACTTCATGGAATTTTTCTTTGTCTTGGTTTTTTTGTCTTGATTTTATTTTCTTTGTCTTGACATTTATCAGTATTTTTTTTTACAAAATGAGGGGAATGTATTTACGAAATTAATTTCAAAACATTGATGTAACATTTGGAGAGCAGAATGTAGATTTAGTTTGAACAAGCTGAAACGAATAGAAAAGTTGGCCAAATATCGCTATCATTACTTGTTCTAAGATTTCTCAGGCTTGATTATATTTTGACAAAAATCCTGAGCTGTTTGTTTCGTAACGATTACGTAGTCACACTAATCTGTCGTTTAATTCACTTGTGACTTTCTCAATATTTGAAACATATGCGTTACTACTATACTACTTTACTGTAAACGCTATATAAATAATGATTTGCTTGCAGTGTCATATTTGATAATGAGTCGATCTATCGGAGATATTGTCTGAGCCGAAAATACTGAAGTATAGTGCAGCAACGACTTGCAGCTCTTCCTGAAACATAGAAGCGCATGCCTAGCTAGAAGTCGTTTGGAGGAAGTACATACATGACGTTTACTGCTTTATTTTACACATTCACGCATGTATAAATGCAATTAGCATACAAATCAGAATCATGAAACAATTAGGCAAAACAAACACTAATTAACGGTGTCATTAAATATAAAGCTTAATAAGATGAATAAAACATGTGAAAAAAAGATCAATAAATCATCTTACAGTTAACTACTAAGATTTTAAAATAACAATTCCTGACAACGCATGACACACTTTGCTAAGCCACGCGACAATTTGGGCAGAGTCACGCAGATGTCACAATAAATCGGTCCATCAATAAAATAATATAAAGTAAGCGCGTTATTGTCGAAACGTGATTCATTTTAATTTGAACGTCCATAAATATTTAGTTCTAGTTCCTAATTTACTGAATCTAACATTAAGTATATTAATTCGAAGCTCGAATTAACGTTGTTCTTTAATACTGGCAATTTTCTGACAACCGCGATTCGTGAGTGTGTACGATGAGGCGACTTCAATCGTTTTAAACGACCTTTGAAGCTAAATAATAATTGATTATTAGATTGAGTAGACGTGTGCCCGACGAGAAAGTACGTTTTTGTCTTTGTTTATTACGTATTTAGTCATCAGACAATTTATGTTTGCTCATATTTTTTAATACTTAATAATAAAAGAGAACTATGATAATGAAAGTTACATATACTAATATGAGTAATTACTGGTTATTTACTAGTTTCTTTGCGCAGATGACATGTCATGTGTGCAAAACAAAAGCCTTTGCTATTTGTGTCGGTCTAGTATTTTATGTACATCGTGACATACGCAGGCACCTAGAACCATATCACTAGGAGCAGCTGTTGAACTCATTATTCACACTTCATCGTAAATAAATAAATCATTTTAAACCAAGCGGCCGAGGCACGAGTCTCTGGGTTGTATCACAGTGATCATTACAACACGATCCAATGCGCTTGGTGCGTTAAATTTTGATAAACGAGGTATTCTTCAAAGTTAAGAAGATATGATAAATTCAAGATGTTTACACTTATATATAGAAGGGTTCGTATTTATCGGCACATTTTGTAACTTATCAGTAAACTGCCAAATAATGTACAAAATAGGTTCCAATGGAAACAAGGATTGTCGTTCAAAATAATGTGAATTTGTCAATTCTTCCTGTCAGCAATAGATACAACTTGGTAAGTCTTTGCCTTTGAACAATTTTGATTCATTATAGTACAGCAATGTTATCTTAAATTTCATTGATGACGTCATGTTTCAAGTATTATGTTACAGTCATTGCTCCGAAATGTACACAGGCGTCGTATAAGTCACGTGACAAATATACACAGCCTTGCGTAGGAATTTACAGGTCAAAAAGAGATCAAAGCAAGCACACTTAAGTATTATTGACAAACTGTGGAAACAATTAACTACAAATTCATTACATATTTATGTAGTATTGTGAGAACTACATTTTTCATATAGAATTTATAAACAGTTGTTTTTTGGTTTATTATTAAAATAACGTAGGTAAACACTCTTTATCGGCACCAATCAGGGCCCGTCCATTGCAGAGATACATCACACTAATAGGACTATATAGTTCTCCGTTCTAATTCCACTCATTCAGTAATGCTGTTTACTTGGCGTCTTTGTTACGACTTTTAAAAGCTGTGTCATTTCTCAATAATCGTGTTGATTATTATTCAATATTGACGGATATCAAACAGATAGATTTAGAGCTCGATTCTAACATTTTGCACATTGCAATGAGCGATCAGTTGTATAGGCAGCGTGTATCGGATGCTTTGGCGTTACATATTTTGCTTTGGAATATAACGATATAATGTAAATATAACGCCTCACCACTATAGGAAACATTGAATAGAAATTGAACTCGGGTTTCAGAGAAGGCGAAAAACTAAATTCATTACATTCTATCTTTGAACCATAGCTATTAAGGGCGGAAATGGGTATAATAGGGAGCAACAATACTAAATAGAACAGCTAGCGTGGAATACAAATATTCAAAAAATGTTCACAAAAGAGCAGGACCAGTATAAATCCACGACCGCAACATACAGGACATTATTTGCCCACAATTGTTTATTTCAGTGTATGTGGGTTGGTGGTGGTGTCGGTAAACTACAAAGAATTGTATTTATATATTTACGATATAGTCAATTCATTTTGGAATGACAAACTACCTAGGCCATTTATTGCGACTGCTAGAATTACTAAAGCTCTCGTTTTACTAAAAACGCCAATGTAACGCAATATAATTCACATGAATTACCATTAGTCTACGGAAATTATAACTTGGTCATCTTCCCTCACCACCTTTGCGTTCGAAAATTGTCATAGATGATATTTTGACCCAGGATTATAGGCCATAACATCATGATCTATAGGTGAGAATGATTAACGTCGTACAATGATTTTTCTTAATATAACTGAGATGTTAGTTGCATATTGGTAATTTACAACATACACAGTTTTAATGAAAAACGGCACCATACTTATAGTTATGTGTATACATGATGAATAAAATATCATAGTCTAAGAATAGTGAGACCCGAGGGCATGTTAGTGTGCAATATGTAATATGTGTCACATGTGTAATTAATGCGCTATTTAATGCGACTTGAAAGGTTTGCATATTTTGCACGTTTTTTTAAACATTTTGGTGGTACCTTTTTTCTACATTTTCATGTTTTTTTACTATGACCCAATGGATGCATGTCTTGAAAAGCGATATGCTTTTTTTTCCTGATGAAATGCGACACATATTGACTTCTGTGTTCACAATATTTAAAACGGGTGTGTGGTGCAATGAATTTTGATATGGTATATTTAGTTAAATGTTAAAATGTTTCAGATACGGCTAGGGATAATAAAATACTAACTCCGAAGGCACCCATAAAGACATCACTATATCACTATTACTAAAAGCTCAACGTAAGTTGTTTTCAGTGTCTATGGATGCGTAAACTATTACAAATATATGATGCCGCTTTCCTCCAGTAGCTCATACTAAGAATGAACTATCAAAAATACTGCACAGTAAGATAAAAAACGAGTTTGTTCGCATTATTCTGGGACAACAAATGACATAGTGTATTAGACAGTAATGATAATAAATGTACTCCTTGTTGCATACAAATTGTTACTATCATTTATAAAACCAATTTTACTGTTGTGTACAGATTCGAATTTATTCTACAATTGACATAGAGCTACCATGAAGACACATGCACTACAGTTCAATGTGGACTAATTGTGGCTTTTTTCTTTGAGTGTCGAGGGATATAGCACTTAAAACACTCGGTATCAATGTATTCATATTACAATATAACCTACCAGTATTGCCGGCCATGATTGAAATCACCAGCGCCGAACGTCCTTCACAATCTTCGCAATTAATGTCCAATTCCGGAAAACGTTCAAGCGCGTCCACTAGCATTTTCTTGTCCCCTTTCTCGGCAGCGGCGAGAAACAGCTTCTCGGCTGATTTTTGGGTCGAGTTGCCAGTCATTGTCGTAGCGAGTGATGAATCAGAAAGTTCGACTTTCAGCGAAATATTACCGGCAGCTGCTAACTCAAGTATTATCCACCACTGCGGGACAGTGCGCTGTGATGGTACATACATCCGTGCTGTGCATACGTAATGAGGCAGTGATAACAAACACAGGTGGCGGCAGTGCACTAGGAGCATTAATTTCGAAGACACTGCGTTTGTCAGTTAAAGTTGACACAGTTTACGTACATATCAAAATATTTGTAATTTTCCAAATCATGTTCATTTTAGTGTTGCATTATTCTTTTAATGGTACTGTAATTGGATGAAAACTAATTGCTCCTACGATAAATAGATCATGATCATCGTACCAAATTTATAATCTTTTTTTTTTTTTCATTTTGGAAACAAATTATTGTGAACAATGCGATGAAGACTTTTTTTGGTAATATTCTTGTGTAATCGGTAATTATGAGCATTATTTATGGGTGCATAGGGAATCTATTATTCTTAATATTCATTTATTTCTTTTTTTTCTTCAAAAAAAAAAATATTTACACATTGTTGAAAACGGAAAGTCTTTAATGTAGTGTCTGTGGTATTTTTTGTACCTCGATCTATTCAACGGATTGAATACCGGCCAACTACATTATGTTTCAGAACTGCCAAGTCCCCCTCCTCACTTCAAGATATACAGGACGATTCAATCATTGGACGAGAGTAAACACAAACAAGTCGACAGGTACAAGAACGTTGCGTTGATAGACATTGAAATCAGGGATGAAATACAGTCTTATGTAATTTCATACATGATGTCAAATAATATGTTGACAATTTTTATATGTTTTTAGGATTGCACAGTTCAGTAATTTCCCGAACTTCGTAAATCACCACAGTCGCCGTGCTCCACCCGTCCGGGGGGTACACATCGCGTAAAAGATACATTGTTTGTTTACAGATAATCTAAAGGCCAGCATGTTGCGTTCTAACAATTTCCTTATCGTAGATGTCTGCTCGACTTATCAAAAACGTAATCTTATGGCGTAAACATAAATAAATACAAATACCAATGATCGTTTTCAATAATTTAGTTCGTGGTTTGCATTAGGTTCATATCCTCACCTTTATGATGGTCAGTACTGTGTCGATTTTTCACTACTGTTTACTGACACAGAGGGAGCTATACACATTTACTTGACTCGAGAGTGTCCAAATAAAGCGAGATTTAGAAAATGTGAGACAGTTTACAATTGTGATGACAATAATTTCATCTTTCTTTTATAATAATAGTTTATAAATTGTATGTGTAACTCAAACCAAACTCATGTGAATGACATTCAATTTACAATGGAATTCGTGAAATTTACAATCCAGAGTAAAAGTCAGAGGTGAAATAAATTAGCCAGTCACGTTCATTTGTCACCGACAGTTGTTCTACTTAAAATGTTAATGAAATGTGCAAATTTAATCTCGTGGGAGGGAATTGACGTGCGTTGCAAACAGGAAGAGGGAAGTTCTGGTCTGGTGCATTCCACTACGTACCATAGTCACTTAGGGAATGAAAATCCGAATTATCAGATCAGTACTCTTCAACTTCTCTAAACAAAACATGTAAAACTCGCCTTCCGTGAAATCGACACGTCGTCCATTTCAATGATTACTCCCTCCCTCCAATTTAATATCATTAATAATCCTTCTTTCTAGTTGCTAAGTTTATTTCATTCAAAATCGCACACATTTCTGCCGATGTCTAAAGTGATAATAGGGATACGTTTACCTCGAATATGAAGGTCGGCTGATTGGGTCAGTAGCAATACCGAATTTGGTTGTGTTACCTATAGGTTACGATCATGCAAGCTCCCAAATTATTAATTTTCCGCGATTTCGATACTGATATCGGCAGAAGCTGTCATTAGCTCGAACGATCTTTCTTTCGTAATGCGATCTCCAGCTGTACACTTACAATACATCGTCTGTGTTCAGATGATGCTATTTTATATGACTTTGACAATGTCACGACCCTCTATAACGTTACACTCGATAATGTATAATAATAAATCAAGCTCGAATTAGTATATAGCTTTCCAATTACAGATTGTGCAGCTGAGAATGCAACGCATTCAGATCCGATCTGAATCTCTTAGTGTATGTTATTTTATTAGAAAGTAAAATAATTCAGTCAATCAGCTGAACAATTGTATGCCGAGGTTATATCCAGGCCCGTGGAATAAATTTGTCACGCACATAATTTTATTGCTTTGATCTTGAATAATGGGTTTTTGAGTTCAACTTCAAATAAATAAAAAATAAACATCGCAACTAATAACTCAGTGTGGTTATAATTATCCTGTATCGATTGCTACTACAATGACCTCTACTTTACAGTACAGGGTAACAACATTATGAGCATAGAATTACCATGCATCAAGATGCTCTGTATATTAATACAACATAGTCTTTTCTAATGTATCATTTTTCACTCGAGAATTAGCTCACTTCACATATATATGGGAAACGAAATACAATATTTGAACGCACGAGAATGTATATAAATAACATTCCAGTACCAGAAATGGGTAATAATTTGATTACGTGAGTGTTTTTCTATTGTTCATTCTTGGCATTAATTCAGAGACTGTGCCAGTTTTATTCACAACTGCGTCATCGCGAAGCAGCGCGACAGTAGGGCGTTCGGTGTCATTGTAGGAGTATTGTAAGTTAGTCATCTATTAGTTGCGTTGTCGTGAAGAAATACTTTCAATCTTTTAAGTTAATCACAATTACCTGTTTTGGTTTTGGTGACCTTGTTATCAACTTAATTGAAGACATATATTCTAGTGCCCAAAGGACGGTTCATGTCTCCCTCACTAGCCCAATAAATTTCAAGCGTAGCATAGTACGACAGGGCTACTCTCTCTCTTATAGATTACGCTGATGATGTTAGCCTGTTTTCACTCAAAATAGGGATTTTTCTAAACTCGCTGAAAACATTTTAGTAACACTTGAGTGAACTGTTTGAAATCCCAAAGCATATCAGTTGGCCACTTGGAAACCAGTGTAACTAAGGACTATATGTCTTAGTTCTGGATTCATGTTATAATAGCGCCCTCTATTGCAATCTGTTGATTTTTGTGATCCTTTCAGCCGCCGGAAGCAAAAACAAAATTCAAGAATCCCATAATTTTGACCGTAATCCGGAAATATGTTAAAATACTTTTTTATAATTAGTGGAGGATTTTAATTGTTTTATTTTGTAAATTGATTTGTAGGAAATTTTATAACGATCAAACGACGTATATCATACTTACAGGTATCCCGCTTTGAAATGCTAGTATATATCACGGTTTCCAACAAAGTTAAGAATGAACAATTTACAAATATGGTATCAAGAACAACAAAGACACAGAAAAACAAATGTATTATATATATTTGGCCATGTGTGCACTCCCCCTAAACCATTTTCCAGGGTTCTACTGATTACTACGGTTGGTGACCTGCTTGACTCGTTAAGATGATGCTTAGGGAGTGTGCTGGCAAACCTGACTGACTGACACTAGTAATATTACAATCATTGAAATCATAAATTTATAAAAATAATTATTGCAGCATTTGTGATTCTCCGATTCGTTCAATCTTCATTCTTGGATTCCTGATTTCAAATTAACCTACTAGTAATTCTTCTTCTGTGCGGGTGGAACAATGTTGCTCCGTGCGGAGTATTCCATTCCAACGTCCGCAGATATACACTTGCTGCCTGCAAAACTAACTCAAAACATCTCAAAACATGCAGAAAAAAATGGCAAGCAAATACTATAACTTTGCAAAACTAGGAATCTCATGTCGAACCAATTTAAACCACTATAGATAATACCTCATTGTAGTACAAACTATCCTAACACATGTTTCAATAGGGCAGTACCCTATAGGTTTCTATAGGGCAGTACCCTATAGGTTTCAATAGGGCAGTACCCTATAGGTTTCAATAGGGCAGTACCCTATAGGTTTCAATAGGGCAGTACCCTATATGTTTCAATAGGGCAGTACCCTATAGGTTTCAATAGGGCAGTACCCTATAAGCAAAATTCCCACCATGTTCCCAAAGAGTTTCGTCACCAGCAAATAATACTGCTTTGACTGAACCACGTGCAATCGAAACAGAATAGAAGATTTCACAACTAGCTAATTCTTGTTAAACAGCAGCACCAAATGATACAGATAAATTGACATTTTTATTTTTGTCGAGATACGCATTTTTAAAATTGACATGATCGGCCTTCCCCTCTTGCTCAAAATAATAAGAGTGATTAAACAATTTTTGTACATATATTTCGCTATCAGATGAATGATAAATATGTGTGAAAATCATGTTTGTTTCATTAACAATTATGCAGTACAGTAACAGTGGAACCATGTTTTCTTGAGTTTTCTTAACGTGTGCAAAGTGTGATAGAACTAATCAGTGAGTGACGACCATTTTGAATATATAATTAGATGTTTGCGAAATCTTCGCTGAATTCGCTAAAGAGATATGTATTCAAAAAAGACACGTTGTACAGTACAATGCGGCTAACTTATGTGTATCTTCCAAATTGAATCCTCTGGTGTTATCGTCTTTCAGGAATATACATTTAAGGTAAGATTGCTGCACCCTGATTATATCACAAGACACGTAGCTAGCGTAGATTGCTGCACATTCATGTCATCGTCATTTAAGAACATAAAGTTTAGTGTAAGATTGCTGAATTAGTTCTCAAAACACAATAACAATAATGTTCATGTTCCTTCAATGTTTATTCGTCTTTTCAGTTTTTCATACATTACATTAAATTATTCAAGATAAAAAGAAAATTGTCGCAATATGTCACTTTGCGAAAACAACATTACAATAACCACTGATTTCATGGAAAATGTTCATAATTATTACTGAAGCACTGGAGTTTATGACAATGAGAATAATGTGCAAAAACAAAAATGACTGGCGCAGTACACGCACAGATACATTATCATGTCACATGTGC